GTATGTCACAGTACTAAGTACACAGTAGTAAAATGAGCTCACTGGTGAAACAGTGGCACATCTATCGTGGAGGCAACCTATCACTTTCGGATTGGATTTGATGCCTGTTCTGCACAAGGGTTTCACAAACGGTACTGTAAACATGAGTAGTAGCCCATGGACAGGGTAGGAAGGCATAGGCTTTAGTGGAGAAGCTACTACTGTTATTTTGCTAAGTGAACATGATGTGCCTGTCAACTTACATTCCAAATAACAATGCTATACACATAGAAGAGTATTGCTATCAACTTTGGTCAAAGAATATTTTTTCTGTCAGCAGTGACACTAAGGCTAAAGTACTGAGGATTAATGGTTTTGGAAGGCCACTTATAAGTGAGACACCTGTGTTATGCTTGTCCTCCATTTGGTTCTGCCCCAAGGTTCAGGGAATGTTGCAGAAGATGTGGAAAGACTCAGAGAAAGATGGAGGCAGCAATGTGGAGCTCTGAGATTTTAGAGTTACACGTCTACCATTCTCCTAAACTCACAGCAGGTATGCAAACACACAAGGGCCACAGAAGACTGGGCCTGTCAGCACCCTGTCATGAGGGAAAGACACATTCCTGTGAGCAATCTTAACGAAACTCATTAGGTCACCAAAAGTAAGAGGAGAAGAGAAGGCATGAAAGAAGAGTGGAGGCAGAGTGGGAAGAGATAGAGAAAGAATCAGTGAGGCAGGACAGGCAGAGTGTGTTTGTATGAAGACTTCATTCACTGTGAAGTATCATAATGAATTCCATTATCATGTATAGGTAATATATAATAATAAAAAGCAAATCCTTCAAAGGTATCCCATTAATTTTCAAGACAGCTTTGTAAGAGAATGCTGTCATTGACCCACTTCACAGATGAAGAGACACAGGGAAGGTGAATGACTTTTTCAACATCATGAAACTAGCCGGAGGAAGAGACAAGAGACTAGAGCTCTTTTTTTTTTTTCTCACATTCTGTTTTCCCTATAGTATTAAACAATCTACTTTGTGGACTATTCAGAGTTATTTAAGACAATGTATATTAAGAATGTGGAACTGACGCCAGGCTATAATAATCTACCAAAAATTTTAGTCGCTGTTAATAATTGCTAGAAATATTTAAAAAGCAGGGTACAGCTCGATTAAATAATTCATCTAATTCATTTTCTTCTTCAGGTTACAAGGTCAAATTGTTGATGAGTCCCTTCTTACAATATTCATAACTATTTGCTGTGAACTTATGTCATGACAGGCATTTGGCTCAGTCTCATGAACCTCTGACAGCTCTCCTTCACAGACTTAGAGAAACTAAAAGCCAGAGAAGAACTACAGCGCAGGGCAAACCCATCAGAGACCAGCCATTGCACAGAGGCCAGAACCACTTCTAATCCCTAACTATTTGCTGACAAGAACAGCAGTGGATCTGAGCAAGTGCATATCACCAAGATAAACTGGATGTCACTCCTCACCACTACCAGCCTTTCATGTTGCCTTTAATTAAGCTGAAGAAAATCTTTTGGCTGAGACACAGAGCAATAAACACCCTGTGATCTTAGTTATATGTAGAATCTGAAAAATGTCAAACCCATAGAAACAGAGTGGCGTGGCAGTTGCTAAGTGCTGGGTGTAGGAGAAATGAGGTGATGTCGTTAGAGGGATGGAAACGTCCAGTCCTAAAATGAGCAAGTTCCGGGACCTGCTGTGTACTCCGGGTAGTGACGAACGTGTTAAGCAACTTTCTGGTAACCATTGCGCAATGAATACTGACGACCCAGCCTCACGCTCCATGCCATGAATACGCGCAATCCTATCTTGACAATTAAATGACCTTGAATAAAAATTACTAACTAAGTATTTTTCAAACATTGGAAGAATATCCATGTACTGTTTCGATTTTCATTCAGCCCATGTTTGTGGAAGCTTCTCCAGAGTTCTTCATTTCTAGGTTTAATTTGGGGCTTTTGAGATCAAAGCACTAGTATGTCCCCTAAGCAATACTATTTTCAAGTCTGCCTTTCTGCTTAAGATCCTAGCCTGTGATTTAAAAAAAACAAAACCAAACCAAAAAAACAACCAGACCAAAAAAAAAAAAAAAAATCTCACCAAGACACCATTATTATAGCTAATCCCATGTATTTTCTCCCATCTATCCGTCAGCTTCTCTTTTATGTCAGAGAGTCCAAATGCTAATTTTGTCCTCTGGCAGGCTAGCTCTCATTCTGCTTACTGCTTCTCGTTTCTTTCATTATTTCAGCACCGATTAAGCTGTCTACAAGGGTCTCCATCACAAGAGAGCAAAAACACGCAATAGCTGTTTACTTGTAAACAGAGAACACAATGAACACATGACACAGAAAGATGACTGCTTCTTTAATCTTCGTATTTACACTAGATCACTCCCTCTAATTTTTTTTTCAGTTTAGTATGTCAGGTAAATAGCCTTATGTTTCCTTTCCACCAACTCCCACTGCAGGAGTAATTACTGAAGGGTCACCAGTGGCTTCACACAGCCATGGCATCATGACACAAAAGGGCTCACAACTTGGAAATTAAGTTGCTATTGTGTGTCAGACACTACTGCAGAAGCTTTCCATATGCCATCTCCTTCACTATTTACAACAGTTTCTGGCATCCACGGAGTTGTTAGAAGGTGGAATAATGGTGATTTAAGCTCAGACCTGCTTGCCTCTAAGAATCCCCCAACTTTACAAGAGTCAGGATGAAGAATAAAGTCGAGAAGGCAGAGAGAAGTAAACAGATTAATGTATCATGGGCAGAGTATCCTCACTAGTAACTCATTAAACAATTGCCTACACATATAAAGAACCTGCTGGGCATCATAATGATGCAGATTTCTGCGCTGAGAAGCAAATTTGGCTGAGGAAGCTAGAATCTCTTAGAATGAATGAAGTTCAGCCCTTCTCTGTACTGATCTATATATATGGAAGAGTTAGGAACTCAGAGAATGGGCAGGGCCCTGCAGCATAGGGAAGTCTTCTTAGATATGATGCCTTTTGACCGTACACTGCCTGGAGTGGCGTGTCATAATAAGCAGTGGTAAAGCCAGGCCAGTATCATGGAGGAAGGCTAATGAAGAAATGCCTGGGAAACTGTATGCTTTAAAGTACTGCAGGGTCAACGCCGGCAAAGACTGGGAGGTAAGAGAGGGAGAAGGTGGTTTTGATCCTGTGGTGGAACCAAATGTCGGGAAAAGGAGGAGGAAACAGGAAGGAATCACACTAAGGGGAGGGGATGTTGGAAATGAAGGATGTGAGGCTGGAAGAACAGGTGAATACTCAGTGTAGCACGAAACGTGCGGTTACTATCAGCCATTACATTTATTCATGTGAATTGATTTGTCAGATGATTTTTGTCGTGAATATGGATTATGGTAACTGGATTTTACTATCATTATGAAGTATGATAGTATTGACAGAAAGAGGAGTAATGAATACAAAGGTAACAACAGGCCTTAATCAGGGTTTTGGGATCCAAGGAAACAAAGGTACAAGCTGAAGTGAGAGGGATCCAGGTATTTCAGAACAGGCAAAAGATGAAATAAAGACTAATTTGTTGTACTCCAGCACCACTGCCGCTAGGTATTAGGCAAAGAGCTAAAGGATCAGACAAGAAGGCAAAATGAAAGCAGCTTCGCTTCCATCCTCCAGAGTAATGAAAATGATACAGGTGAGTAAAGGGCACTCTTGAATTGATACTATAACAATTGCTGCAACATAATTAGAAACAAAATATTCTTATATTCATCTCAAGGTTTATATAACCAGACTGGGATCCTTTTCCCGTGCTTCTTGGTTGGACGTTTCCTATTGGGTAGAAAGGGGCACAGTGTTCAACGAGCCAGCCCCTGAGTTCATGTCAGAGACAGTCCCTCTTCCACTTACTTGACCACCTCCCCCTGAGGGGGGAGCAGCCTTGTCAGGCCACAGAGGAAGACAATGAAGCCAGTCCTGATGAGACCTGATAAGCTAGGGTCAGATGGAAGGGGAGGAAGACCTCCCCTTTCAGTGGACTTGGAGAGGGGCAGGGAGGAGAAAAGGGAGGGAGGGTGCGATCGGGAGGGAATGAGGGAGGAGGCTACAGCTGGGATACAAAGTGAATAAACTGTAATTAATATAAAAAATAAAAAAATAATTAAAAAAGAGAAAGGGGCACAGTGTCATAAAAGCTTTTTTGGATCTGGGTGCTTAAGGACAAACTAGATAACATGTTTTAATGGTCAGATCTGACTGCAATAAGATTTTAAGAATGGGAAAGAAGCCTTTGTATCCCAAAACTGCCAAGCCACTCTTATCAGTAATATACCTGTATTGCAGTACTCAGGCAGAGCAAACTTGGTTATATGGAATGAAACTTCTAGAAGAATCAAGGGGTAAAAAAAATACTTATGAGCTCATAATTGGATTTAGCTAAGCCACTTCTAAATTTTCAGGGTACATTTTTATTTTTGGTTTGCTGACCCTCACTTCTGTGTCTCTGTGGATAGAGTTTCCCATGCTTCATGTAGAAGAGTAAGCCATCTCATTCTGGACAGCCATGCCACCATGCCTTGGAAACTCCTTAGGCCACTATGAAACTGGTGAGCCTAGATACTGGTACCAAATACATTTATGTTCAAAAAGCTTTCTAGCTTAGAACCCTTAGGACTAAACACACAGCGCAATGCAGTCCATAGATCGAAGCTGCTGTTGCTATGATTTTCTTTTCAAGCTTTAAAGGGAGAAGTCACAGGCCATGTACAACAGAACTTCTCACTTCAAAGGCATAAATTCCATCTTGCTGTCAAATCTGAATTCATTCGCCAACTTTTCATGAATATCTGGAGACATATACTTGATGAAAATGATGATGATTGCTAAAATCATATTTTATACAGCAATCTCCAGGACTCTGCACTTCTACATTCTTCTTTAAAATACAGTCTAAAATATAATGAATTAATAAATAGAAATTGTAGAATTTTGGTCTTACCGTTTTTGTCTGCTCTCCTCAGTATCTGGAAAGAAAAGAAAAAAGTGTTATCATATTTTTTATGCTATGCTGGGGCCCAGGTCAGCGGTAAAGCACTTGCTTAGCCTCTGTGAAGCCCTAGGTTCAGGTCCCAGGATTGGCAGAAAAAAAGGCGGCGGGGGGGGGGGGGGGATCTTGTATTCCTAAATATTGCAAAGAATGTTATCTTTACACTAATTCACCTATCACCAAACAAATAAAACTCTAATGCTAAGTGAATGTTCTTCAACTGAGATTTTCCTTTTCTGAATATTCCCCCACCTGGAAACAGCTCAAATGTCCATTAACAGATAAACTGATAAACAAGCTGTGTGATCAGTACAGTAAGGAGCTGGTGAGCAACTTAAAAAGAATCAGCTACCAAAAAAAAATATCTTACATGTAAAAATCTGGATGTATCTCAAAATGATTAGGCTGAGTAGGAAGCCTAGACACAAAAATGCCCACGTACAAGTCCAGGTATATACAGTTTTTAAAGGCACAAGAATATTTAGTGACAGAGAGCAGATGTGTGTAACAGTGGTCAAGGCTGAGAGCCATAAATTATAAAACTGTATCAGAAAACTGTTGAGGACAAGAAAGAAACTAAATTATCTCAAGTGTAATTGTTTCATTGGAGAGGGGAAGAATGTAAGCATTCTACAATGAATGAATGTATCACAGATAAGTATTAGCTAGTGTGACCGGGAATGTTAATCACCAGGGATGTCTCCTCAATGAAGAAAACGTAAACCTGTTTCACAGGCAGAAGGCTGGGAGTGGGTGCTGACAATAACCTGGCGACCTTTGCTATCCCCGGAGCAAGTCCTCACCCAACCCCCCCAAACACACACATTTCACCTAGACTCTTCTTCCCTAGACCTTTATCTTTGTTTCTCAGTCAATTGAGCCCATCCTTTGGGGATAGGTCATACGTTCTTTATAGCCTGCTGACCTCTATGCCATCTCCCTCAGAGACCACACCAGATCCCAGGCTCTTAGGCTACAGAACCCATTTTCATGTTAGAGGTCACAAGCACTTTGCAAAAGAGTTTTGAGGTACTCATGACTTCAGCTTTATTGTGCATATGTATTGAGAGAATTGTTTCCAGGAAATTTTTATCCAAAATTGTACTGTACTTAAATGTGTCTAAAGCTGGCCTGGTATCAAAATCCAGAAGTTTGAATCAGCCTGGCTAAGTCATATTGTACCAAATTTCCATTTTTGCCTCGCTGCAGAGTGTTTTGTTGCTAACCATGAAAATTTCAGGGACCTCCACATTTCCTATGTTAAAACTAGAAAAGTTTGTATTTTAAATGTATGCACTCTAATGTACATTGTTATCTCAATAAAACAGGAAATAAAAACAGAAAAGAGAAACAGTAAATGACTGGTAAATAGGAGCCCATACATCTTATTCTGTATCTTACTTGGACGGCCTGTGAGGTGTGTTGATGTATAGTGATTCTTTGGCCATTTGGTAGTCATTACTCAGTAGTAACGGTTTCTAATTTTTCTGCTACACTAATCTTTCCTCTACTCTAGGTGTCTGTGTTTAAGGGCTGGGTAGAGCATGCAGGCCTGACAGAATATCACATTTCTCTGACATTGACATCTGATGTGTCAGGAGTACCTTAGGGCCAGTAAATAATAGGCTTTGCTTGAACAGTTACAAGAAAGATAAACGATGCCTACTTTGGACTTACACCTGGAAAGATACAAATACACAAGGCGCTGCCCTTGGACACTGTTATCATACATGCTGTGGCCGGACTGTGTGTTTTGTTTCTCCTGAAAACAGCTGTTGAAGCTCTTGTTTCTTAGTACCTGTGCATGTGACCTTATTTGGAATTGGGTCCTGTTTTGGTGCAATCAAACAATGAGGAGGTATGGGTCCTAATGTGATGACCTTCTAAAAAGACAAAAACTCAGAGACAACTCTCAGAGAGCTGTGTTGATACTTAGGGGAACCAAGGGTGCTCTGTGAGCCCCTAGCTAGTCACTAGGGAGATAACCCTCAGCTGTTTATTACAAGGGCCCATATACTGTTACATATTTAAACCTTGGACCATTTTTTTGGTTCTCTCTTTCTGTTAGGAGCAATCAAATTAACCCCATGTGATCTAGGTACTGGCAGATATCCAACTGGATGCCATACACACCTGCAGAGAATGACCACTGTGTTGCAAATGCAAACTTTAATTATATGGAAAGAGGCCTTGAGGAGCTTGTTTTTCCTGAGTAAGCTTTAATTTTAGCTAAATAACCAGCACAATTCTTATTTTTACATTGTCACTTCTTGGAGAACAGTTTAAAACACAGGCAATAATTTTTATTACTACTTTGTTTATGTTCTTCATTCTATCATAGGAAAAATATTCTCCTTTCATTCTTCTGGCATCACCAACGTTAGGTACGGATAAATCTAATGTTCACTAAAATGTCTTCTATGATAAAATACCGATATTATTTCTAACAAATATCATCCATGGAACTTTTCCAGCAACAGATGGGTGCCACTCTAACCATCAGACCCAATTTGGTCCTTCATTTCACAGAATGAATTTAATTATTACACGAGGATGACTTTCAACCATAAGAAGTATGCTTACAGCGGACTGATACCACACTGTTTTGACTGCTTGGTGTAGTTGCCAGTCGAGATTTTGAAGACCAGTTCTTCCACCAGACAATGCCTTCTTGTTTGCCAAAATTGAAACGCTGCAGCTGAGTCGGGGAGGCATGAATTACATCTCATCTCTTATCTTTGATTGATCCTAAGGATTAACTTTTGAATTCTATGTGTCCTCAAGAGTGTGAAATGGCTAGACTAGAAGCAACCACACACGAAGGAGTGGATCCAGGACTTCCATCATTTCATGGAATACAACCAGAGGCAGTACTCACATTCTCAGAGATGAAATTAAGACAGTAGCTCATGTTGTTAAACTCCTGTAATTAAATATGGGGAGCGCTGCCTCTCCTGCAAATTTTGCCTCTGAGCTCAAACTGTAATAAAAAAAAAGCACTGCACACGAGAATTGAGTTCAGTGTTACCAAGGTTGGCTAATCTTAACAGCTGCCATCACTAGAGGCAGTAAATCAATTTAACAATGTCCAGGGAGGAAGCTCAAATATGAGGAGTACTGTACCTTGCTGTAACTAACGTATTGCTGTATAGACTCCTTTTATTCTTTGATACCAATAAGTGAAATTTCTTATTTCTCACGTCAAGTTATAGAGGGCATCCATTAAGCATTATCTTAAAAGCGTGCAAAAGTCACCCTTCACTGGACTAGCAAGTGCCTCAGAGCAGGTTAAGATGCAAGATAAAGTACGCTGTCAGTCACTTGGCGGGATCCGTGGAAACTGGGATGTTCAGCAGAAAACTAAAGCTCACATAGAGCATGAGTTGACATACAGAAGAAATAATGAGGATATGGGTCCTGGTGCACAGGCCTGGACACCGAATAGATAGCATGAAACCACACCACTGGTCGCCCTCGAGCTGCAGGGAAGTTGGCAGTGGAAAACATGCGACTAACTAAAATGCCATTAGTACATTCTACCCCATTCTTCTCAGTTTTGCCCAGGGTTAGCTCTGTGTGGAAAAACACGGCAAAAGCCATTACTGTTCTTTCACTTAACATTTTCTAAACATAATCACATTCAAATAGTCCAGTGTGCATGTGCGACTGGCCAGGCGGGAGACGTGTCGCCATAGCAGAGTTCAGTCATAGAATCATGGTTTCATGCAATCCCGCATCCATGACATCTCACACAAACATGTACGTGCTGAGGCTCTGCATCAAACATCCTTTAGAAGAAGCTATTACTCTTTTATTATTATTTTTTACCAGGTTCTGACCATCCAGGCTACATGTCTTCTATGTTTAATACTTAGATGGAGGAAAAAAACAAGTTATCAAACTGGAAAAGGCATTGTTTTCTTTACTGACCTTCCAGCTTTAATTCCACCTTACCAGTAAAATGGAGAAGGCCCTGTTCCTTCTCACATAAAAGTAATGAGAGGCTGGAGACATGGCTCAGAGGTAGGACACCTACCTGGCTGCACAAGACCTTGGGTCAGATGTCCAACACTGAACAAAAGAAGAGTCAAAGGAAATCTATTTGCAGAGGACCGTACCGTTGGATGAACAGAGATGCAATAGCAGAGCAGATTAATTAAAAGACTATATGACTGCACCAGGGACCTAGCATTTTAAATGTGACTTTATTCTCCATGATCCGGAATGACGCAGCTTGGGGAAGTATAGCACAGCAGTGAGAAAGGAAACCAATTGTCAGCCTTCTGGTCTTCCTATGTTGCTGTATATTGGAACCAGTTCTGGTCCTGTCCCATGACTAGCAGGTGTGCATTGTGCCAACATAACCAACAGCAGTCTGCCAGCATGCTTGGGTCCCAGCCCGTGGAGAGTTCTTCTAAGTCTCATCAGGTATTCACAAATAGTTATGGCAAAGCGATATGCTATTATGCCCCTTCAGGGGAAACATAATATAGACCATATTTATGCAGTTCCTTTGTTAGCTTGTGAATTTAGCTACAACTATTTATGAATTTGTGAGCATGGAACACTGACATACTATAGTACTTCAAATGCACATTGCATGTGTTCTTTTTCCCTTGTTGTTTACAATGTGACCCCATAATGACAACACGGCACCTGCTGAGTGTAAATAAGAAAAATGAAACAAAGGACAACAATGGTACAAAACGTTCATGGCCGTGTCAAGCATTTATCTCTAGTTTTTAAACAGCTTGCCAGTTTAGCCATGTCATTCACAGTAACCTCAGATGAGGTTGAAGTAATTCCTCTAAGAAGTCTAAAGACTGACTGCTTCAATGGTACTTGAATATAAATAGTAGGATTCGGTTCTACCAAAATTTGGAAATTAGTCTGTGAGGTGCAAAAGTCCCCCAGTGGTTTCACGTCTTTTCTGATCTACAACAGGGAGTGTCTACCACCTGTTCCTTATGACTTGAATAGAATCCAAAAAGCAACCATTCTTAGCAGTGCTACTAGAATATACTAAATCTAATCAAATCAAGTGATGTATTTATGTTTCACAGTTTGTTTTTGCTAAAACCAACATGATCCAGAAATGAATAATTCAGAGATCTCTAAATAACCCGATCCTTTTTCATGTCACACAATTCACCAGAGTGTTAGATTTTTCGCAAAATAACTCACAAATGTGTAAACAACATATTTTCTATCTGAGGAAAAGAATCCAACTGTAGTTAATCTTTTCTTTTTCTTTTTTTTTTTTTTTTTGAGACTACATTTCAAAGAAAAACAAGCATGTTAATCAGATTGGTTTTATTTTTGTTGTTGTTTTGTCTTGTTTTCAATTCTGGAAATAGACTTAAGGAAGGTGAGGGAGCCCTGTTTATAGCTGAACGTTCCTTCAGGACTGGGACCTTGCACTGTTTACATAACTTGGGAACAACTGTGTACATATGATAAATGAGATTTAAAATTTTCCTTTTCAAGAACTATGGTTGAACACTTGGGCTTAGAAGGGTGGGTCAGTCAAGATGGCTGACTCTGCTCTTCTAGAGTTTCAACTCATTCTTTACCACAGCATCACCTGGATCTGTGATAAAGGTCAAACCACGAGGTAGCCCTCAGCATCCTTGGAGGGCAGAGCGGAAATTAAGCACAAAAGAATGGAGGTCACACTTGACATCAGAACGAACTTCTGGACAGATTAGTTTTCTTCGCCATAATGGTCTGGATGAGCAAGGCCAGGATTTCCTCCTGACCCTTCCCACCTGTGCTGTCTTTTCTTTACATAACCCAACCTGGTGCCTCTCTCAAGGATTATGTCCTGAATGGCAGAATAGGACAAAATAACACTGGCTAATTAAAGCATGCACTGAACCTATATAGAGATTTAAAAAAAAAAAAAAAAGCTATAACAATTTGGTGAGGCAAAAAGTGGAAATCAGAAACTTGTGTTTTTATGGGGAGAAAATGGCTGGCTCCCAAAGCACAAATCTCATGTTGGAACTTCATGGTGATACAGGGTGAAGGCTTCCAAGAGGTGGGATTGAACTTTCGATTAAGTGTCTTATACAAGTTTTAATTATTGATATGAATTACTCTACTGATTTTAAAAATGTCTAGATAATCCACTCAAGACAAAATGAGGACTCATTGCTGCTCTCCCCATTAGCTTCAAAATCTCTGACCATTATGATACTTGTATTTGATTTTCTCATATTTTTCATTTTTTACAATCTAGTGTATTTGGCCTCTGGCCCACCTCCTACTCCCTTGGACTTTAATGAGAAATGATGGCTTAAAGAAGAGGGAGGGCCGGGCTCTTGGCGTGCTTTTCCCATTTTCCATCATGCCAAAGAAGCAGTGGCTAGAATTGCCTCCTTCCCCCCCCCCCCCCCCACCCCCCGCCAGCCACTACCTGCTGGAACCGAGTGAATTGGACAAGTGAGCAGCAGCGAGCTGAAAGTCGGAACCCAGAAGGCAAGCAACCCAGGGACTGAAAAGCTAGGGAGCCTAATAAGGCAACGGGGTGGGAAACAGAGAATTGAAAGAGCAGAGGACAAAGCAAAGCAGAATCAGGACCAAGTAAGATCCAAAGCCGCTATAGAGAGAGGAATCACAGCATGAGGGTAGAAAAAATAGCACAGAAAGAAAAGAATGGTCATGTTAGAGATGTGGAGGAAGGAAGCCAATTTCCAAGCAAGGAATGGGACCAAAGGGAAAGCAGTCAAAAGCTGGAAGAGAAGGTAATGATAGCAATTACAACTTAGGCACAGGGGAAGAGAATGATAGGGAAGGGAGGGCACCAAAAGGAAAAGAACATTCTCATAAAAGCGACCCTAGATACTGTTGTAAAACGAAGAGCAAATACGTTCAAAGAGATTGTTTTTGGTGGCAGCTGGGAGAGGCTGGAGGGGCACCCCAATTTCCAAGGCTTCCATCAGCCCTCTCCAGTACAGGCAAGGGTGCCGGTGTCTGTCTGGCAGCATATTGGGCTGCACGGAGGAGTCCGGAACCAAGTCCTATTCAGCCCAATGGAGACTCCACTCCACCCCTGACAGAAGCCCAGGCTGATGGGAAGTCGAACTTTTTGGTCTCCTTAACGCTTGTAACCAAAGCTGCAGGTCTGGGACAGAGCTTTACAAGTTGGGTGGCAGCCCTTTCTCGGGCGTTTGCCTAGGATTCTCTGGGGGACAGCAGCTAGGAGGTTGGGTGGAGGTCTGAGCGCAGAAACGCGAGCAGCCGGCAGCTGCCCCGACCCCTCCTCCTCTCTCAGCGGGGTGATGCCTAAGGCTCCCACCTAACTCTTTCGTCTCTACTTACGTCGAGGAAGATGGACATGCCCTTGGACAGCTGTAGGGCAGAGCTGAGCTCTTCCGAGGAGTTGTTGGAGGACGGCGAAGTCTCCCGGGAATCCTCCATCCTCCGAAGCCCTGACGCCGGCGGAGACGGACTGGGCGGGATGCAGCCGCTCTGACCTGCTGCTGTCTCCGCTGCTGCCTCCACGCGCCGCGCCGCCGGGCTCGGAGGAGAGTGGGTGTTTGCTCCGCTGCGCGAGCCTCCCTCCTCTCAGCGCGGACTCTCCTCCCTCTCCCTCCTCTCGGCTTCAACACTAGCTCTCGCCGCCCCCTTCCCAGGCGGACTGCGCCTCACTGGGGGATCAGGCTCATCCTGCACTTAGCAACAAGCTCCCCTTGCCTGCGAGCATTCCCCGGCCGTGGCACTCCCTTAGCTACATGCCAGGGGTAACCTTCCGGACCCTGCCCACCACAGGATAGCTTACAGGACAGGCCAGACCGGCTTTTGTCCTGAACAGCCTAGGGGAGAGGCCAGATGCACCGAGGGAAATCTACGAGTAGAAAGAAGGAATTTGAGTTTTGTCTAGTTTTGTCTACTCCATCCTTGGTGGAAGCACCACTCTGTGCCTGACACCATCCCCACCCCAACACACACCACACACACACACACACACACACACACACACACACACACACACACACCATACCCGGTTTATAGATTCCACCCGGGAAGTTCAGTTTGGAGTTAAGACACTGAGTTTGGCGATCTGACCTTGTTCCGTTTTTAAATCTTGTGCTCTAGCAAATTGCTAAATCTTTAAACTTTAGTTTTCCTGATCGGTAAAATGATCACCCAGATGGTACTTGGCTCATAGTTCTGATGCGTACACATGGGGTATAGGGTGAGGCAAGCAAGGTGCATCATGGACAAAGCTCCCCTTGCTCCGGGAACGATGGCCATGAGCCTTCTAACATACTATATTCTGGTGTTTCCACCAGGCCCAGCTGGACCTTGCTCTGTTTCCAGTGTTTACAAAGAATGAGTTCGGCTGGCCACAACTCTGGCTGCATGTTGGAACCAACTCAGTGAATCGACTTCTAAATGTCTCAGCAGATGAACTGTCATTCTCCTTCAGGTTCTTTTTGTTCCTGGACCTCACAGGCTGTGCCTCCCGAGGCAGGGTGCATACAAGGCCTTACAGCCGCAGCCTTGCAGGAGTATCATTTATCTGTTCCAGGAGTCAGGAACTTCCACAGAAGGAGTTTGGTGATCTTGAGCCACCATACTCTGAGAAAGTCCAACGTAAATGGAAAGGAATGTGTAAGTTGGTATTTGACTGAAAAGTGCAACCGAGCATGGCTTTGACATCACCCCTAGCCTAATTGTTAATAACAGGACTACAGTAAAGACTCTGACAGATGGTTCCAGATCCTTGAGACACCCTTAGCTGTATGAGTAGTTCCAGACCAAACCCCAGGCATCACAGATATCCCCAACAATCCAAGGAAGGCAAGTGCTGTTCCCTACAGAGCTTCAGAGCTCAATATAATTTTTATTGCATTTTCGAAAATAAGTTTTGGGTGTCAACTTGGAACAGGTAGTCTAAATAAATAAATAAATAAATAAATAAATAAATAAATAAATAAATAAAGTACCCCTCCCACACAAGCAAAACAAACAAACAAAAACCCATTTATACTGTGTCTCACTTTCAGATTCATGTTCAGCTACCATGTGGATGTCCCTGGCCATGTTTTTCTTTTTCAGAACTTCTCAAGCAATCCTGATGAGCCCAAGATTGATAAGCACCTAAAGGAAAAGAGCTGCAGATATTAGGCAGAGGCTAGTGAACCCAGACCTGGGAAGTCCAGGGATAGAACACTGAGCTTCATTAAGCCGAGGGTCGCAAACATGACACTTGGTGGGGGAGGGGGATATTGATTGGAGCTGTGCTGCCAGGACTATTAATCTTGCATCTTTGTGTTTTTACACCTTATTAGCTGCAGGTTTCCTTATTTGAACAACTGGAATGGATTTCTTCCTTTGACAGTTGCTTATCAAAAAGAAATGAAAAATCGTTCAAAAAAAAAAGTCTAATCAACACAACCAAAACAATACTGATCACTCAAATCACACAGAAGCAGGAGGGAGGCCACTGCTGAATGTTATTGAGTTTTGAAAACATCCTAGATGTTCTGACTATTGACTGAGGAGTATGATTCTGTCAACAGGGCGCCCTAACTCTGGGCTCTCTAGGTTGTACGGGTCTCTCTGCCCTCAACATATAATATGCTTATGCTAGTCCCATGAAAACAAGCATGGTGAAAAAGATTTTCTTTGCTTATAAAGGAAAAACAGGAGAGTAATCTGTCCCCATTGTTGAGAACTAGAGAACTAGCTATCAGGCTTCCTTGTTCCCATAAGTACCTGTGGCTTTCCTTGTTTCTTCTAAGCTGCTATCAAGAAAGACCACAGACAGGATGGAGGGACACAGCTTAGTGAGCAAGAGCACGTACTGCTGTTGGAAGAGCCTGGCTTCAGTTCCCAGTACTCACCGGATGACTCATAACTGTCTATAGGTCCACAGACACACAAGAAGCACATGCATGCATCCAGACAAAATGCTCATGCAGATAAAATAAAGATAAATGAAAAGAATAACAAGCGTAGGGCTAGTGAGGTAGCTTAGCAAGTAACGGCACGTTCCATGAAATCCCGGCTGTGTTTAACCCCATAACTCATGTAAAGGGTGGAAGGAAAGAATGGGCCTCGCAATTTCCACCTACGGGGACTTGAAGGCGCATGTGCGCACACCTAAATGCCCCCCCCACACTTAAAAAACAAATGTAAATAATGAAGTAATCTGCTGGCCATTATTTCTTTTAATTCTTTCCATGAGAATTATATTATACTACAGCTGACTTGCTTTGTGACTGCTATAGCAGTTAAGGAAGGCTCCACCAGGAAGGGATGACAATTAGATTCTCATTCACAGCCAAATGCAATAGGCTTTACAAAGTGGTAACAAAACATATTTTTAGTTTTCTTTTTATCTAGACAGAGAGCATTTTGAAAACTGTTTTCACACATCGTTTTACTGAAACACAGATGCTGTACTGCTGTGCATAGTATCAGTTACACACAGCAGACAGCTGACTGGAGGGGAAAATATATATCTTCTTTCCAACTTATTTGTAGTGAAGGCATGGGAAGAAAGGAAGCAAAGGAGAAAGGAATGTAATTGTACATTATAGCTCTCAGACTTGCTATAGACTGACACGAAGATATCTGGAGCATTTCAGCAGATGATGGCCATGTGGGAACGTATTGAATTTCAATCCATCTCTGTCTCATGGAGGGACTATTATCAAAACCATTTCAGAGTGCCAGGGATCTATTTTATTTATACTTTAACTCTAGGGAGCACTATCCTTCAGAGCAATGAGTCAGGATCCTTCCAGTCTGGTTAATGGGCGTTCTGTTGCTTTGGCAACCTTAGATCCAAACCACTTTTTATCTGGGGACCTGAACCCAGGGTGCGTGTTCTGAAAACAGGCAGGACTCATGTTTTGCACAGTGAAAGGTGATTCCACTCATAGAATTTAAAGCAGAGACTGAAATGTAGGCATAGCTGACAGGATGCTTAAATCCACGAACAAAATAAGAAGGGACATTTGTCCATTGCAATGGATACAGGGAAGTGAGTGCGGAGTAGCCGCAGTGCTGGAGGAACCCTGCAGACAGATCAATCGGCTTAAAGAAGGAACTCTGTGGACGAGATTCTCCCGCTGATTTCTTTCCTGGCAATTGAATTATTGGTATTTAGAAAAAAATTACTGATTTCACCGTGTTGATTTGGTATCCTGCTACTTAAGTTAAAGTGTTAGATCTAATAGTTTTATGGTAAAAGAATCAGGATCTTAAGAATATTGGATCATGTCATCTAAAAATACAGATAATTTGACTTCTTCCTTTCCTGTTTGTATTCTTATTGTTTCTTGTTCTTGCTTTATTTTACTTGCTAAGCCTTCAAGCACTGTTTTGAATAAGAATAGAGAGAATGGACATTCTTTTCTTGTTCCTAATTAGTGAAAATGTTTCAGGTTTTTTAGACAATTAGAATAATATTGTCTATAACTTGTCATACAGAGCTTTTCTCTGTATGACAAATATATTCTGTATGCTCAAATATATTCTAGTTTCCTCAGAGCTTTTATCATGAATGGTTGCCAAACTTTGGCTAAAATTGTTTCTACATCAGTTCAGATAATCATGGCATGCCTATCTCTGAGCCTACGTATATGCTGTATTTATTGACTTGCACATGTTGAATCAAGCTTGTGTCATTCAGCTTAGCTGGATTCATAAACTCCAGGTCCAGTGAGAGAATCTGTTTCAAACAAGACCAAGGCAGAGAGATTAAAGAAGAAAGACACCTAAAGTTAACCTTGGGCCTTTACACATACTTACACAAACACACGTACACCCCTACATGAACATTTGCATGTACTCAAAATGAATGAGTATAATTAAAAGTTTCCTTGTATTTTCATACATGCATATGACACACTTTGGGCACATTTAATTTATCACTTAGCTTTTTGTTGTTTAAACTCTGAATAATAAATTTTGTCTAAATTTCTCCTGCCAGAGTGAGACGTAGTTTAAACCACAAAGGAAAAAAAATGCCTTAAAAATTAGTTCTCTTCAATTAGACATTGAGTGCCTGCTTCATCCCAGGCAACTGTCGGCCATGGATGAAGAATGGTAAAAGCTGGTCCTGGGCAAAGCTCAGATATTAGAGAGACAGTCTTTGAGTAGACAGTTGTAATGCAGTAATACAAAGGTGTTGCTGGACTGGGAGTGTGGAGAGAAGACCAGGAAAGGCACTTCCCCCATCAGATCCTGTTCTCTGCAGACCTCTACGCGGCTGTAAATAGCAAGAGTAGAACTCAGGAGCTTTAAGTTCCGAGGGCTTTTTAAAGCATTAACTAATGATGATTACTTTGTTATAGCCATTTTACCCTGAGGATAAAAATTTTCTTTTCTGCCACAGAGTGAGTAAATGAAGCTCACATTTTATTAGCTTATTCGGGGAGAGCTTCTACTTTGGTAAATCACAGAACTCTAAGCATTAACTCTGTATGTTGCTATGTTTAGAATACTCTGTCTCCATCTTGCTCACCCATGGGTTTTGCAGTTTGAGTCTTAAATACCCCCAAGTCTTGTTGCTTTGAATGGTCAGCCCCCAGCTTGTG